ATGAAACTGGGCGGATGCAACGAATCGCCAGTCGCCGGGGCGGGGAGGGGGCTCATCATCATTTTGGGTGGGACTCGAGGTCAGGGCAATTGTGATGCGAATCGGTGCGTTGCCCGAGCAAACAGACGCCAAACAGCTGCGAAATAATGCTGTTACTCACTGCAATATCAGTAGTGTGTCCAATCTAATGGAAAAAAGACGCCAATGCCGATATTTTCAAGTTCTTCTTTCCCTTTAGCCCACATCATCTAGCATCGAATAGCTCTGAGTGTACTGACCGAAAATGTGGATGGTCCTCTTGAAATGTATCACATCTTCAACAGAGTCGCTATCTAAACTGGTACAGCTTGACAACAATCAGATGATTGTTGTAAGGATAAGTTTGAACCAACAATCAGGATGTCTTTTTAAAAAGCCCTGGATCACCAAGTGATCAATAGTACGTCTTCACTGTGGAAAGATTAAAGTTTTAGTCATGTGTGTGCTTTGTGTATCCTTGAGAAACTGTTAATCCTAGTTACATCCACGTGACTCCTTAAGATTCCTTCCAGCGCATCCCGTATCGAAGGCGCCCTATTTAAAAACCTTAATAACCAACAATCTCGATGAATTTGGTTCTGATCCTTTGAGACGGGAGCAAATTAAGCCGGTTTAGGACGGAATTATTAAAAAAATTATATTTTTCACGTAATTCTGATTTATTAGACAAATGCCGAAACCGGTTCTGAATCCTTTATCTCCAAGTCTCTAACCCATGTTACTACATGTTTATCCTTGGCCCCTGTAAATAATATGTTATTTTCACTTAAAGTTCGGACAATCAGGAAGTAGAGTCATGTCTGGAATTGCCACATTATGCATGAATAGCGCAATTTGAGACAATTTTGAGAAAGGTCTATTAACTAAAATTTGTTCTTTTATTGAAAGTCATACAAAGAGTGAGGTAAAAGACTTTTAGTCACTATAAAATGAATTATTACATTTAATCAAATTGAATCAAATTATATTACAATTAATTTAAAATCGTCTTTATCCTCTATACTGTCTAAACTGATATGCCGCCCTTACATTATCTAAAGTAAACGTCATATTCACTAAAAAATTGGCATCAATCGAGATAAAAACCAGTGTAATTATGAATTAGGATAATTTTTCATTCGAAATTTTCCACAAAGTTCTGTAGGGTATCCCTCTATTTCGACCTCCTTAGCCAACCAAGTATGAAATACTTGCAATAATGGTGGGTCGAGTCACTAAATATTATTGTTAATTATTCATTTTTAGCAGTTATTTCCTCAATACGAAGAAGCACAAGTCAAATTACCAGTATTCTGGCTTTAGCCTCTTTGGAAGTGTACTACTCTAAAATATTTTATCTTTCAGACTTTTTTGGCCCGTCGATACGAATAGAAGATCGTTTATACGAATTTCCTTATAATTGCAAATTGACCAATTAATGTTATTATGATAAGATGTGACTACAATATGAGCATAGCTAAATGAATTCGAATGTTAATAAGGCAAAGTTGCACCGATATGTTCGTCTTACTGTTTTTAAAATTAAATTGCAGTCAGAAGCTACTAAATTTAGCAGTAGTTTGAGCAATATTTGCATAAATAATCTATCTATAACAAAGCTTATCCCAAGTTTATATATATCAAAACCAGAATATATATAATTGAGTAGATTAGTGAATTCAGTATCCAATTATACTCTAGATTAATATTCTTATTACTATTATTAAACCAGACTTTAAATTATTTAAATTAAATTAGTCAATTATTATGCTTATTTTTTTTAAAATTTAATAAACCCCATGGTATTTGTGAAAATATTCTTCTAGATTTAACAGGCCTTTTAAGAATCGTATAAAGAACTTGTTTGGTACGCCTAATGTGCTTACTTTAAACAATAGGAAAAGTAAATTGTAATGAACAGCTTCCCTGCTATTTCTCTGTTTTAGATGGGCCGTTATCCTATTCTATTATGTTATACAAAACGATAAGAGGATAGCATCATTACAATAAAGCCTGCTTTGATGAGAGCTTTATCTGAAAGAGTGCGTTTCGTGATGTACAGAATCCGAAAATCTCCGCTAAGCCCTATAGGTTACAAGCGAAGATAATGCGTGTTTGTATTTGATGTATATAAAGCCTAAAATACCCTGTTCTATCGGTTTTTTGACATAAAATATCGGCTTTAGAAGATGAAATGGCGTAATATTGTAAAAATAGAGTTCTCCCAATTTGAAGATGTCTATCATTCAGTAGGGCTGCACTTTGAAGGGTTTAAGGTTTAAATTGCATACAATTACACACATACAAACATACACTCATACATTTATATAACGACAATCATACACGACAGAAAAAAGTTTATCTATGAGTGAATAATGAGCTTGCGGAAATATGTAAATAATATTAATGTTGCTGCTCAGACTATAGATAGAACACGTGTGCAAATGAGCAGCATAGAATCAAACTACGGGCATAGACGCTTTGATTATCCGAAAGCATGTTATGGAAGCCTGAAATAGCCAACAAAATCAAATGGATAAAGTTATACCTCATCATCATAAAGTGACTGATACTGCTATCAAAGATTTACAGATTTACAGATTTACTCGGAACCTACTTATAATTATTATGAGTAGTGTAGTTGATTGGCATGACCAAATACCCGTTTGCCACTAAAATGAGCTATAGGCGGGATCTGGTTTGTCTTAAACTGCGCGTCTGCCCCTCGACTCAGAGGCCTTGGTTGATTTATGTGAATGGCGAAATAAATGCTTTTTCCGTTCAGGCACTGAAGAAGCTATACTGGAGTCTAGTCCAGTCTGAATGAGAAGATATTTTGGGAAACAAGACTATACAACATTCACTGAAAACCATGAAAAAGTCAAACAACCCTATTTTCGTCACTTTATGCGATCTAGGGTGGCTGGAATTAATCTTATTTAGAAATGGGTCATCTCAGCCGGCCAGCATCTTTGCTGAATCTTTCTATTAGAACTATTTAATACTTCGCTTATGTCTGCCAGGAAGGTAGAGACGAAAGTTCAGAATGGCTTGATTAAAGAAACTATGGGTTTCTGACGAAACCAAGTTTAGCATCCTTTTTAAACAGTTCAAAACACACACGGCCTTATTTCGGCCTTGATAAGTCCTTTCGAGATTAAGGTTTTTTCAATGCAAAGCATCACCATTTTTTAACTGAGATCGTGTTGCACAGATCTTGGCATGGCGTCGTTGGGACACACTTTGAGTTCCATAAATGCGGGCGAAAGATAAGCACCTCTTATATCCTAGCAACGGCCAAACTTCTCCCCCAAGAGACACCGGTTTAGAGGTGGACTTAGAATACATGACTTTCATACTTTTAGTCGGGTAAATGTAGTTAAAGATACTGGCGCTCTACGATGAACTTCCTACATGTAGCGATTCTGGTGAGGATATACGCGAGACAGAGATTAGCTTTAATGTCAACTTTTACCACTCCGATCCCATGATGAAGCTTAGCTTCTATTCTGAGGCCTTTCTTGTTTAGATTTGGTAGACACAGTCTGGATGGGATTGGTATATTCGGACTGGACTACAGTTTCAATCTGACCAATCATTTTATCACAAGTTTTATCAGAATTTGAGACAGAATCGTGTGCGCCAAGTTGCAACATGTCAACAAGCACGGCAATCCAGGCATTTTTTAATATACCAATTTATAGTGAAAATGTCGTTAAGGTAAAGTGTGCTTTTTTTAGTATAATTGATAAGTTCGCTTATTTTTACTGCGAATATTTGACACAATTCCATTAATTCTGAATTGGTAATTTAGCCATCCTATCACCCAAAGCGAACAAGTTCAGAAGACCAAACAGTCCTATATTGTACACTGTATATACTCAAAAAATAACTGAAATAAAATAGAAAAAAATATATATACATGTGTAGATATGTACAGAGTGACTTGATTAATGGGCTCCCTTTCGCTTTAATCTGAGTTATTCAGACTTCTTAACTTAATGTCTGTCGGAGGCTCGCGTAAAAAATGAAATGATGCTCTGAGGATGTCCGTCAAGTGGCGGTACAGAAGAAAGCTCAGTCTGTTTTCAGATGCCTTATTGGCGGCGTAAACATGAATCCCGATGCAGCATCAAACGCCTGGTCTGATGAGATCGACATGTGAAGCTCTTTATCACACACACACACACACTCATACATTCACATATACACTTCTTCACGAGGATAACGTCAACATAACTTAATTTTCTCCCTTTAAGACTTGTCTATCTTTTGTCTACCTCGGAAGAGGTGATTAAAAATTGAGAAGATCCAGCGCAGATTGGTACCGTGTGTGAAGCTCGAGAGAGTCAACTTAGAGACAGTCGAGCTGGAACTGCTCAAGTCAGGCCAGTTGGAAAAGGCAATTTTGAGCCCATTGACAGAGGCCTCAGATCCGAGGAGGTTTTCGCCTCGGCGGGACGGCGGGACTCGAACCGCCCTTCACTACGGTTGATAGAGAGAGATAGAGAAAGAGAAAGAGAGAGAGAGAGAGTAAGACGGCATTCTTTTTGTCCGACGATCATGTCTCACTCTTTCTACACGCAAAGTGGAGATGGGAGATGAGATTGAGGCATGAGGAGACAGCTCTACGAAATGGGAAATAGGCTGGGATTGGAGGCGGAAGAGGAGGAATGCCACAATTGTTGAAGAGACAAGTGGTCGAGAGGATGGCCGTCTCGGTTGTCCGACGAAACGACTCGGAATGTACCATTTTCACAGTCGGCCATGCAAAGTCGCCATGACAACTCGGGCAGATGAGGCTGAACTGGGTGCATTCTTCGAGGTCTCCCAGTCATTTGGGCCAACAGTTTGCGAGAACGAGGTCAAGTTGAGTTTATCATTTTAATTGGCAAAGCAACATTGAGACAGATTGGAAGGAGAAGGGAGGGTCAAAATGTGGATCGCGTGGTCGGAACACGCAAAGTCGGTTGCTCGGCCGTCTACGTCGGTGTGACGAAACGGGCGTTTTGAGTGGGCCAGGAGAGAATTTGCGCCAAATCGCCTTTTGACGGCTTCACTTTCGTCGTCGCCGTCGCCGTCGCCGTTATCGTCGCCGTTTCCGTTGCCATAGGCAACAACTGTGATGGTGGGGGAAAGAGGGATAAGTGTACTCCCGGAAGTGCGGTTTCATACACAATCTGTACCACCGAGAAGATGTCAATTGTGTTCTCGGTCTGATTCACCCGTGGCCAGAGATAGTCGCCCGTGGAGACGCCAAGATTGTTTGGACGTCGGCCCAACAGTCGACGCTCCACTTGGCCTCCGACGGCTCGAGACAACTGAGCAAACGCCTCCTCGGGCACCAACTTTCTTGGGGCTGTCGCTGACGACGACGACGACGACGAGGCCCCACCGCCTGACGGACCGGTGTTGTCGGTCGAACCGCCGCCTCGTCGGCCCGGCTGGCAGTGGGCCATGGCGACGAGAAGGAGCCCGAAGACGAGCAAAAGGTGACGGTCTTTGAGGGTCATCTCGAAGCAGGCCATCCTGGAAAAGAGGATTCGGCCTTCCTTGGAAAATGCCTTTTATCTCAACCAGCGTGTATGCTTGTGTCTGTGTACATTTTCACGTGTGTGTGTGTGTGTGTGGGTGTGTGAATGGGCGTCTGTAGACACACACAACCCCCAGTATACCCATACATGTAGACATGTTTTCACGCTTATTAAATCGGTCGACTGCATGTCTTCTGCAAGGCTTCACAACCACATGCACATCCACATCACACCCCCTCACCCTCCGATACCACCATCACCACCCGATTCGGAACATATGAATCCCACATTCTCCTCGGTCTACCCGATCGGAATGTGGAGTCGGTTGGTCGTCTGGCGACGCTGCTGGCCGAGCTGCGCAATGAGCACATGTTGTAGACCCAGAGGGCTCATTTGGCTCGTGTCTGCGTAGTCACCGTGACCAGTCAGCAACGGAAGAACGGGTTGTAGGGGGGGGATTAGTCTGTGAATCACATGACCAAACGCTATTGTAATTGCGCAACTTACTGAGCAAAGCAGGAGCAAAACAGAGCCCCAACAATGGAGTTATTTAACCAAGATTAGTGATAGGAACTTGTAAAAAGATAGCCATTTAAGTAGTATAAAGAGTAGGGAATTGAGGCATAATAAAATTTAGCTGATGGAGGGGGGTGGGCAAACATTTTTTCATAGTAGGCCTAAAAAAGTGTTTTTACTTTTGAGTAAATTTCCAAAACTACCATCTCATTTAACTGACTTACCGGTAGTCCTGTAAACCTATCCAAAACGGAAAATGGCAAATGTAAGTTTACATCATCGACATTCTCACCACAGGATGTGATATGGGAAAAATGTCTGGCTTTCAATCGAATTCACATCTGCCCTGTGGCGTAGTGGAAACGTGTCATGATTCGTGTCCCGCTTGGTGCTCTGATGACACCAACTTAGGCAACGTCGAAACTTCAGTCATACCTGCTTAGATGATAATACTTTTGTGGAAATTAAAAGTAATAGTAACGTCTATTCATATGATTGTGGGAAAATTCAAATGTTAGAGAATACATTTCATATATACAAGAACAACTACTTATAAAGTAAAGCCAGTAGATTGGTTTCAAATCTATCACTGGACACATTTCAGCCAATTGCTTTTCTGCATTCTCTTATTGCCTAACAGCATTTATGGGAATTTCGTCTTGGTGAAATACTTATTAAATTCATAGAGCCTGTGTGAAACATCTTTTCAACAGATTCCAGAAAACATCATGTGACTTTATTTCTGCACGATATGTCTTTCTCTTACCTCATATTTTGCATCCACAACCACAGTTGAGAAAAGGTGACTTTTAGTTGGGACAAATAGTAATCTCTGGCCTAGGCAGACCTAATTCCTTCATCAGCTACTTGCAAATACTACTTCGCCCAAAGTCTCAATCCTATAAACATAGGGTTATTAATATAAAATTGATAATGTTTTTCGTTCGATCTGGTTTTCGCGTCAGGGAGACCTTGTGGAACGTACCTAGTTTTGCGTGCTCTGCCATGGTATTCGTGATTTCCACGCAAGAAATGCTGAACGAAATGAATAGCAACGGGCAAATCGACAAATGGACAATGAACTTACTTATGCGTAAGGAGGCAAGAACGCCGGTAGCCAAAGGTACACAAAGAAAGAGAATTGTAGAGACTGATAAGCAACAACAAACATGGATTGACGCATAAATTAGCGAAATTTATTTGCCTAAAATGAAAGAAAGTGAATGACATATTATCGAATGCAGTAAAGAACTTACATGAATGTTGCCAAAGAATGAAAGACGCAAGGTTGGCAGGAGACGAACATTTTTGGAGCTTTAATGTACAGTCCATCTACTCACCGCACTACTGGAGATCTTGGAAAAAGAAAATGACATTCCTGGATACAGCGAATGCGTAGAGTGCCTAATCCGATTAGACAACTTAACAATAGAACGACCAATTTCGCGTTTCATTGCCACATCTGAGCCAAGATTTGGTTGCACATGGGCTCAACAGCCTCATTTCTATTGGCCAATGCCTTGTTGGACAAGTTGGAAAAGAAAGTCTAAATGTCAACCCAGCAGCCAGCAGTAATTATGCGATATTTGGATGACTGCTTCGCAACTTGGTCGGATGGAGGAGAAAAATTAGACCATTTCCTGATCTTCATAAAAGAAATGGAGTAAAAAGTCAAATTTATCAGGCATGTGGAAGAAAACGGACGCTTGCCGTTCTTGGGTTTGGAGGCCGCTCGCTCCGAGGAAACGCTCAAGAAAAACATTGTCGAAACAAATCACATGCTGGAATAACTCTTGACTTCCAGTCGAACCATATTTATGGGATGAAGATTGGAATACTCCGGAGTATGATCATTAGAAGCTTGCGACTTACTGATTCTGAGATGTGGGAAGAGGAATGGTGAAAAGAATCTCATATGTTCTTTGGGAACGTATGTCCAGAAGTAACAATAGAACACAACATGGGGATGATGATGAAGCGGTGGAAGGACGGAGACTAAGAGAGGAAAGCAAGAGGAGCAGAAGAAAAACTATGCAGAAGTCTATCTTCCGGCGAATTGGCTCGGAAGCTACGGCCGATACAAGGGAATTGGAACATTCTTACAATCGTGGAGAAAAGGACAACCCTCTTCACTAGCTTGTCCACACAACTTCAAGAAGTCAACAAAATGGAGCGCTGCGGAGTTTGCAGCATAAACTGCAAGAAATTCGGGCAAAGAACACCAGCGACTATGGCCCTTACGGGACACACAATTGACTGGAATTCAACGAAAAGACTGGCTTACTTCCTTTGCGAGTAAAAGTGTCGGGTGAAGAGATTCGATTCGATCTTGCGCAATCGGAGTGATGGTAATAACATGTTTGTAGAGAGGGGGAGATAGGGTCATCAAACCTTGATGGTCAAAGACAAACCTTACTTTTTGCTGTACTAATTACTTTGAGCCATCACTTCGGATTTCGTGCATAAGTAATCTCGTTCGATTCCGGTGAAAAGGTGCTAAGCTTTCGTCCGTCGAATGACAAACATCATCAAAGCAAGGGATCATCGTCACAACCAAATTCAAGCTAACGAGTCAAGAAAAGTCACCAACAAATTCCTAAAAAGTGGTATATATACTCTACATCTGACCTCTTTGATCAAGTATAAAGTGATTTGGTTAGTTGAGGTCATATGTCAACTTCGAAGCCTGTGAATGGTTCTGTTTCTGTAATGAGATGTATTCGCCCAATTTTGTTTAGGGTGATGAAGGACTGGCAGAAGAAGAATTTTCCCACAATGATATGAGTTGAGCTGACGTTTCCCTTAAATTTCACATAGCCTTGCTTTCCCAAAAGTTGTTCTCATCCAATACTTAATTA